ATATTTTTCTTGGCCGCATCCGGTGGAGCGTGAATGTCCAAGCAAGTCGCCGCAATGAGAGAACTCATATAATAGCGACAGAGACAGAGGCGGGGGTCAACTAAAAGGCGCCAAGGGGGTCAACTTGCACAACTGGGCCCTAACTGCTGGCCAATATTTCTTGAATTATTATTGGATGGACGGACTGACTTAACTTAGAGCGTAGAAAAAGAGTAAAAGCTGCAATTAAACAATAACCTAAAAAAGAATATGGATACCTGTGGTTTAACTTGTGATGCTCATGTCTGTGAGTTTATATTTATATATATTTATATTTATATATTTATATGTGAAGAGCCAGATTGACAGACTGGCTGTTTCAGTTGCAGACTTACTTCAATAATCGCCTGCAATAATATTACAAGCCGAAGCGTACTTTTGAGGCTGCAACAACCCCTATTGCTATCCCCTTCCGCAGCTTCTCTGAACACATTCGCCTGTTAATAAATATTAATTAGCCATAATAATTATACGAAAATGTGTTTCCTCCTCCGGTCAAGGTAGATTTTTTTTTTTTTTTTGTTTTTTATATAGCTGCTGCTGGTGTTGAGAACGTTACTTTTTTAAATCTTTAATTGTTGTTATACTCTCGACATAATAGAGTGTTTCCTCCCATACATCAGAAGTTTGTAACGCAAGCACTTTATGTAAACTTGTCCTGCAAACTTTAGCATTACAGATCTGACTAATGTGGCGTATTATCCCCAATTGGTTGTGTGTGTGTGTGTGTGTTGGTAGAGATTTCGCATTAAGTGTGTTAAATAGGTTGGGCTTAGAATATGAAGGATATTGTGGATTCGGTTCAGTTTATAAAAGCGCTCACATTGTTTTTATGCCTTTTTAACGTCGTAAACATTTTTGCCGTGCAATTTTTTCGTATTGTTTATATTACATGTTCAATTTAAATTAACTGCATTTTGTTGCCACAGCAGGCTGTTGCTGTGGCTGGATAGTTGTTGTTTCTGTTGCCTGCAAAAAGACATAAATAACCGTTTATTGACCGCACACACTCACACAGTTGCGGTCAAAATAGTGGGCCATAATGTTCACTAATGTTATATAAATTATAGAATAGCTGTTCGATTTTTTGCAAAAAATAAAATATTCCACTGAGTCAAACCTATTAGGATCAATGCATTAGTTGTTTAAAATAATATAAATTAAAGGGAAACTCTGTTGAAAGGTCTACGATGTTGCAATTTCATTATAAAATAAAGTGTATGGGTAGAAGAGGTATGATGCCATTGAGGGTATATTTTGTAAATAGAGAAGTAGGGAAGAAGAATATTGATTGTCTCTGTGGCAATAGACAATCAATAGTATGCATATTTTTCTTGAAGAGATCTTTAATCTGTTAATGGATTTCACCATTCTTTACTGTAGAAATAGATGAGAGATGAGGATACTACTTTCCTAGTGCAATCCAGCATCAGCTCTCATATTGAATTCGCATTTTAAAGCTCATTAGAGCAGTCGAATATAAAGAAGAGAAATGCTATGTTATGCTGAGTCGAAGACTTCACTTTTTCTCTTAAAACGTCTAGGGGACTTATCCTCTTGGAAGTGTTAAAGTAAATCAAATTTATAAAATTCCATGAGATCTTTAAATAAAAAAGTACAGCATTTTGAAGCTAAATTATTTGAATGCAATACTCATTGATTATGAGGCCTACTGTACGCATACAAATACATATGCTCATAGATTATTATTTTTGCCTTTGCTTGCATTTATATTATTCATTTTTTCCAATATCAACAAATTAAAAATGATATGCGAGTTCATTTAAATTATTTATTAGCCAGAATGCGACCTTAAGATGCACTTTAAATCCCATTCGATTCGGGGTCACATCGATTGCTGGTACACGCATACATGCGTTTATATGCTGGCATATGTACTCGCATATATATATACAAGCATATGTATATGTGCTATGTAAATATAAATTTTTTTGGTAAAGTTTAAATTGAAATTCACACAAAATCAATCCACAAGAGCGCACGCCACAAATTGTTGCATAAAAGTATTTTCGTGCTGCACCCATCACAAAAAAAAAGGTAAATAAAATTCATGGAAAATAAATAAATAAATAATAAATGCAAAAATGAATAACAAGCAAATAAGGGCATTGCTGAAAGGAGATGCAACAAAACTTGCAGTTTTTTGCAGCCCCCGATAAACATTTTTATAGGGCTTCCGTCTAATTGGATATCGGAGTAGCGTTGCTCAATTCCCAGTATTCACTTTGAACTCTTTTGGCGGCAATTATGAAAAGAGGTAACCAAGGTCATTATCTTTCTGATGGAATGTCAAATATGAGCAATCCAAAAAACAAATGAGAGATCGAATAACAACATGCTTGGCTTAAATACATGCAGGTATGAAAACACATTTGAAAGCCAATTATCTAATGTGTTTTTGAGTGCGCCACCAAACTTGATGTGGTTTATTTTTAAACGTGGCTAAATACATAGAATTTACAAGCTACATTCACTGCTAAGAGGGAGCTCTGTATCTTAGACTAATATATGATTGACACGTAATACTCTTTAATTATGTCTTGTCCCAAAATGCATGCAATTTTATTTTCGACTGCAAATTTAATATATGTATATATGAGTTATATATGTATTTAAAACAAAAGCCAAATCTAAGCCTGAAAAGCTTGACGGGTTGACATTTAAAAAGCCGCAAAATGAAAAGCAAAATGGCTCTACAAATACAAAATTAATAAATAAGAGAGATAAATTATAATTAAATGGCAATTTACGTTTGATTAACTAAAAAAAACACACTCAACGAATTAAATCGAAATGTGCACGTTAAATTATTAATGAAAACGCTTGAAAATGGCGGCAGGATAAGCAACAATAACATGTACTGCGTTAAAGGGCAGCAATGGATGTCGAGGGGACATTAACAGCAACAACAACAACAAAAACAACAGCAACTAGACAGCAGCATCCATGTCAACGATGTGCGTGCTCAAGCGAAAGGATATCAGCGAGGGAATGGGACGAAGGTTCAGTTATACATGTATAATGAAAATAAATTGACTAACAACATTTAGATTAAAACGAGCCTCAAAAATGCAATAACAAAACAACGAAATCGAACCAACAATCCCACACTCCTCGTAATTTGGGCAAATATTTAGCGATTGGCTCTAAATTGGTGCGGTTGTGTGTGTGAGTGAGGGTGTGTGTGAATGCACAACTATGAGCTGTCTCTGCAATTATTCATAAAGCATATACATTTGGCCCAAATGTTAATTAAATGAAAACCATTATAATATTCATAGACACGAGATTTGTTCAATAAATATTTATGTACAGTCCAGGATCCTCGAACTATACTTCATTATTAGCATAAAGTGGCTTACAAAAAGGCATAATTATGTTTGAAGTAACAAAGAACATAAATGAAGAACCAAAAACAGATTACAATATCAATTCTTCAGTGCTTTAAATGCACTTCTTTTTCTTTTTTCTCAAGCTTAGAGTAGTTTAGACAGGGGCTTTTAAATTGTCAAAAAGAAAAGATTTGCCATTTAGGTAGCAAAGATGACTAAAAATTCTTTCAGTATCTGGAATATCGGTACATTAATCTAGAGAGCACGTACTTGACCTACTTAGCTTGGTAAACAAACCTACAGTCTCATTCTTTGGTTGTAGGTGTTGTTGAAATATTGGAAGCGAGTGAAAATCGAGATGATCTATTTTTGATCAGTATGAGAAGTTCGGAATTTATGTTTGAAAAAGAGCTAGAGTCGCCCTAATTTGTGTTCTAGGGGCTGTTGAAATATTTGAAAAGAGTGGAGATCGAGATGATATTATGTTGATCAGCATGAAGAAGTGTGTGTTTACTTTTAAAAATGAGCTAGAGTCGCCTTCAATTTGTGTTCTAGGGGTTGTTGAAGTGCAGAGTGGAGCAGAGATTATATTTTTTAAAGGTATGACGAGGTCCATCTATAAGTTTAAAAAAGAGCTAGAGCCGCGTTTTAACGATTTCTTCAAATCCAAATAAACAAACTTCAAGCAAACAAAATTCTTGAAATTTTTAAATTTATAACTCCTCCCGCACTTGTATTTATAATGTTGCCTCCAGAAGAATGTAAATGCACGCTTGTAGTTATACATGTATAGTATTATTTTTGAACAAGCTTCCATCTTAAGTCGTTATTCGATATATTATGCATAAGTGGAATGGATATAAATTTAAATGTCATTTCAAATTGGCCGAAAGCTAATTTAATTTTCATTCGTAATATTTAATATTTATTCATTCGAGTGCAAGAACAAACATATTTGTAACTAAATCAGAGAATATTAAGTAATACAAAATAATTATGAATTGATTTGCATATTATTCCCTTTTTAAAACATTTCAATAAATGTTTACTATTTGCTAGTCTTTGAAAGAGATACTTAACTTGAAACATTTGTAGAAAATTATATTAATTGAATAGTGTTTAGCCAGCCCTCGTATTTTTGCTTTGCCTTATCCACGTGTGTGCCTATTATGGCTATTATTATAATTATTTGTTATTTCTATATGATTTTTCACTGCTGCCGTGATCTTTTTGCCGGCAGCGATGGCAATAGCGACGGCTCGATTCAAGTGCACCAACAACAACAATTAATTGATAGATATGCGGCCTATTTATTCATGCATTATTCAACATTTTGCAAAGCAAACATGTTGCCTAATTGTAAACAATGAAAAAAATAGATGCCGAATGAAAATAAATGAATGGACGCAGTAAATTATGCTGCAATTAATTACTGCCAGATAAGAATGCAGATCGCTCTCTTCTAAAGCTGCACAGTTTGTCAACTAACTACTCGTACATACCTCTGAACTTTTCAATTGTTTGTCGGGAACGTGAACCACAAACTATAATACTATGTACATGGTAGGTGCATATACTCGTACTGATGCATTGTCATTTATTTTGCAGCCCAAAACAAAGACAAGGAGGAGTTCCAATGTCCATCGAACTTGGCGAATGGCAACTATGCAGATCCTGCGACCTGTCGCCGTTTCTATCAGGTGCGTCCATCAAAACTAAACTGAACTGCCACTTCAGGACACTTTGCACTTTGACGAAAGTGCACAATTAATTTATAATACACTCACACAACAACTTACATATTCACTTTACAAGCACAACTGATACGTTTTCTCTTGTTTTTTACATGCTCACATACATATATACATATATACATATATATATATAAATATATGCATCTAGTGCGTCGATGGCTTTCCGTATTTGAATCGCTGCCCATCCGGCCTGTACTTCGATGATGTGCAAAAGTTCTGCACATTCAAGGATGAAGCCAAATGTGGACCGCTTGCAACAAGTAAGTGATTAAGTAAAGCATATGCTGGCCCCACATACATACATACAAACACACACACACACTTACACGTACCCATGCATATATACATAGTTGTACATACAGATTGTGGTCTTTAGATCGGACATGCTTGGAACATTCAGGCTGGCAGTCTGGGTGGCCATCAAATTAACAAAATATAGGAGAGAAAAAATAAAAAGTTGAAAGAACTGGATTTTTAGATGCCCTTTTCAGTTTTCAAATACTATTTCAATTCAAAGAGAAATTTTAAAACTAATAATCATTTTTGTGGAGAGTTAATTCCCTAATAAGATATTCAATAAACTAGTTTCTGCCATAGCCTTCCAATATCACTAAAATTGGTTTCTCAATCAGTCAATCAATAATACTTACGGTTTTAAAATTTATTGGTCACAAAACCATATTTAGGAAAAAAGAGCTAAGTTAGGAAGAAAGTGTTAGATCTGCAGATCTTACTTTTCACTTTGTACAAACAAGTTCAAGTTTTTACAAATCCTTTAGATAGGAATACTATATAATCATTTCCTTTTCTACAAGTATATGCGGAATATTTTTCATGTTGCCTTTTATATTTTCCTAAGCATACAATTTCAAAGAAGTAAACATTTCGTGGCCTATATATGCTTCAAAAATATAGTTTTCTGAATTCCAATTCCAATTTTTAGGCGGACCCATACGAGTATTTACTAAGAAAAAACCAAAGGCTTTTCAGCTTATTTGAAATCAATTCTAGTTTTTGGCCTTTCACAAATAATACTGCAATCTTTTGTCTGTCCTTTTCAAATCGGGACACTTCATGTATGTGATACTTATATTTCTTTTTTGTAGGGTATAAGCAAGTTATCACGACAGTCAATGTTGTCATTTAAATGGCTGTTGTTGTTGTTGTTGCTGATATTGTTGTAGGCAAGCAACTAAAATAAGAGCAGCGCAATGGTATGCACAAATAGCAGTAGAAATAGCATTAGTAGTAGAAACAATTGAAAGTACGCCATAAATCAAGCACCCCAAAACTTTAAGTGCACTCTAAGTGTTGCATATGTATGTATGAATGTTTGTCTGGTTGCCAGTGCACAAGATGGGGCAATGGGAAAGTGGAGGGGGGGCTTGGAGCTGTGGAAAGAGCTCTTTTTAGGGCTAAAGAGAAAGTAGGGGAAGGTGGGTGGTGGGGGGTGGAGGGGGATGCGTTGGGGCACTGAACAGCAGGTTTTTGTGGCAAATGGCAAGCGGTTTGCTAAACGATTTCAAGTTTGCAAAACCAAAGTTGGTAACTAAAACAAAAAGCAAAGTTAGTGCCCCAGCAATACCCAGAACAAGAGGCAGCACATCACAGCAATAGAGTGAGAGAAGGAAAGGCAGAGGGAGAGAGAAAGAGGTACGCAGACAAAGTCCCAAGACCGGAGACTGGAGACCGGAGCTCGGCCAGACGCTGGGCAAAAAATTACATGACCAAAGCGAAGCACGAAATTTATTAGACGCTCCAAATAGAATTGGGCATTCTATTAGAATTCAGACACACACACACACACACACACACACACACACACACATGCACGCCATTGCTACACTCAGCACAGCTCGACATTCATACATAAATACAGACATACAGACATACAGACATTTGCCTGCCGGATGTTGTGCATTAGGAAGCAATTTTGAGTAAATGTCGCATAATTCATTTATGGCCAAACCAAACCAAACCAATCCGAATCGAACCAAACCGAACCGAACGAACGAGTGAACGAACGAGCGAACAAACCACCATCGACTCACCAACAACTCATCCTCCGGCCATAAAGCATTGCACGTAACCCCAGAAATCGAAGCCCATTCGATGACAAAGCTGTGTGTACATTCAACGGGACAGATGCAATCCTAACATTGCGCGCACTATTGAATTTCCCAAGAAGGAGAAGACTGACAAGAGGGGCGGGCAGCCCAAGAGCGAGCACAACTATGAGAATGAGGACGAGAGGAGGAGGGGGGGTTGGGTCAGAGTAGCAGCCAAAGGTGCACGGCTGAGCAGCTGGGAAGTTGGGTAGATCTGTCCGCAAGATGTATGTGTGCCAAGTTTTTTGAATGCGTTTCAAGCATTTCTTGCACTTCAAATGGGCCACAAACGCGAAGGCTTAAGAATGAACAGGTCTAACAATAACGACGGAGTGCTGATATCTCTACGTATTGTGTGTGTGTGTCTGTGTGTGTGTGTGTGTGTTTGCAAAGTTAAAGCTTACGTTTACGATTTAGTTTTAAGTTTTATGACTAGCAGCAACATCAACGGTCGCTTTCACCTCGGTCTGCCAGTGCGGCTCCTTAAGGCAGTTGCATGCGAGTATATGCATCTGGCCAAGGACAAAAGACATAAAAGAAACGATATCTGTGGCTGACTCAAGTCTAATATGTAATTGCCTACACTGTACAAATATTGCTTTTTTTGTAGTGTTGAAATATATTCTACTTGAATTCCAATATATAGTACATTTCCAATTTTTAATATTATTTCCCAGATATATATTTGTATACTCGTATGCCTTTGGCTTTGCTGCCACATCAAACTTAATTCGACAGAATCGAAATACGAAAAAAACCCAGTTTCGGTTTTTATAAAACATCTGTTTTAATGCAGTTTCGAAAGTCGATGAAAGCAAAAGTAGTTTAGCAACTTCTCCCCCAAATATGTCGCTATTTTTCCCAAGCATTGAGAACGACCTTGAATTGTACTTTAGCTCACTTTTAATGCACTTTTGAAAGGAATGGTGGCTTTTTGCCGCAAATCAGAAAAGTAAATCCTAAAAGTATTCGCTTCTTAATTTTACTTGCATTAGTTTTTCCCTAAACGGCAACTTTCCGAAATTCATTTGAAATAAGCGACATGTCTTCTTCGACCTGCGCTTGTGACCGACAACGCAGTTTATTCATATTCTTGAAGAATAATGTAGAGGCTACAACAATAATATGAGCAGAGCCGTAATATTACAAAAAAAAGTTTCAGATTTAAATATTAGTATTTTTTGTTTTTTAAATTTTGTGTGTTGTTTCAATTTTTGGCAATCGCTTGCTTCATACAGTCTGTGACCAGACTTTGCCAATTACAACAAACTAAGGTTGCCTAATTAGCAGCAAAAAAAAGGATTCCCTTAATCCCTACCCTATAATAAATATTGTAGACTATTATAAATGAAAGCAAATTTGTTTGTAAGAATTATCGTTGCTTTTTAAAATACATACAGCCTTCGTAGCCTACATATTAATCTACAGTTAATTATCATGAAAGTAGTAGAATATTAACCATAAATAAATTTTATATTTAAAAACAATTCAACTGCTTATAGCTAGTTTCTAAATTTGTAGAAAGAGAGACATCTTTGTCGAGCCTTAAGTTGTTTGCGCTTTTCGGAAAGTGTATTGAGAAAAAATGCAAAATTCAGCAGAAAAGGGCACGCACATAGAGAGATAGCTTCACATATCGCTCACATGCAAGCACGCACTCTTGCAACAGTCATAGCCATGGCTAAAAACCAGAATCGTGGCCAAAACTGAAACTGGAAGCAAGAAGCTAGAGGCCGGCGGCCGGAGTCAAAGCCAGCGGGTATAGACGGGGCACTTAAAAGAAAGCTGCGACAGCTAAAGCGTTTGGGATTTGGGTAATACCCTAAACTGGAGTGTTGTCTCATATAAATAGCTCTCTGCTGCACATACATACATACATGCATACATACATGCATATGTACGTGTCGCTTACTGAAGAAAAGTAATAACATAAATGACGCCCATACATACATACATATAAGAGCAGAGTTCCGACGCCCCCCTCACCAGCCCACCACCCAACTGTGTCGAAATATTGCAGCAGAGATTAGGTCAAAGCTCTGAGCATTACAAAAAAAAAAAAAAAGAAGTACTTTTTTTGGCTTTTGCTGACGCGCATCATACGCATATATACACACATATTGTATATATAAAAACATGTACCGATTTATATGTGCATATGTACTTACAAGTGTGTGCAAAGTTTTCAAAAATTTTGACGGTTTTTTTTATATTTCATTTATTTCTTTTTTTGAAGCGCCACACGAAATAAGCTTAGCCAATGTGTATAACACTTTGCTGCCCATTTGACAATTTGTTTGCAACACTATTTGCCCTTTTTGCTTTTCGTGCTGGAAATGTGGAAACTTTCGTGGTGAGCGTGGGTTGGAATTACACGCAACCAGCTTAATGTTAGTCACGATTTGAAAAACAGCAACCATCATCATCATAATTGAGCGAATGATAAAATATACGCATGTGCTTTAGTCAAGAGCTGTTCAAATCCAACTAAAAGAAGCTAATCAGGATCTTTTAATCACCTTTCGACTGAATACAATGATCGGCACGATCAAGAAGTATTTCAAACATACTTATGGTGCTTTCCCTTCTTTAGTATTTGTTATACATATTCCGAAAAAGTGAGAGTCGCACGGTGAAATATGTTAATAAAAAAGCAGTCACAAGTGTCAGATCAACATAAAATACAGCATTACCCGTTTTAATTGAAAATAGTTTTTAACGAAAAAAAAAAAAAAAAGTTTAATTTTATTTTTATGTTTTCATTAAATATCGAACAAATATAAAGAATTCTTCAACCAACTAATCGACCAAGTTAAGTTTATTTTTTTTTTTTTAAATATAAAACTACTTCATAATTCTTCTCATTCGGATGTTACAAATCTTGTATTCAGATGCTATCTCTTTTTACCCATTCCTCTTTATCTAATTTTTCAGTAAATTGAAAATCTTTATCCACTGATTCCCTTAAATAACGAACTACATCCATATGGTCACAGTTCTAAAAAACCTTAAGGCTTACAAATTTTTGTACTTAAGGTGGGAAATTTTCTAGTTATGAGTAGCGCTTCAAAAAAGTAAACGCATGTTGAATTTGTCTTACTTTCGTATAAATTTTTACATAATAAAAATTACTTGATCTTAAGTATACAAGT